AAAGGGGTGGGATTAAATAAGCTTATGCTTCTTCCTGCTCCTTTTTGAACATGAACTTTATTTGGAGTTGTGGTTGCTCGTTTTCCTTTTGTTTTGCTTTGTTCATTTGTCTCTTTTAATTCTATTTTGTTGTACTTTTTCAACATGTTCAAAATAAAGATTCAATCAATCAATCAATACACTATAAACATTAAAAGAACTAAAACTCAAAACACTGGGTCATAAGACCCAGGATCGTGACATGCACTCCCTGTTTCTCACCGTGTGAAGTCTAAACTTCAACTCGTGTGAAGTTTAGAGCTCAAAGACTCATTCAATAATTAAGCTCTTGCAGTGTGTATACAGTACAACATGGTTCTTAATTCTCCACCACATTGTTCAATATAACCAAGCGGCAGAAATCTTATGGTATTCAATTTCAATTCAATTTGATATATACAGCGCCAAATAACAACAACAGTTGCCTCAAGCCACTTTATATTGCATGGTAGACCCTACACAATACATACAGAGAAAAACCCAACAGTCATATGGTCCCCTCTGAGCAAGCACTTTGGCGACAGTGGGAAGGAAAAACTCCCTTTTAACAGGAAGAAACCTCTGGCAGAAGCAGGCTCCCTGTTGGTATTGTCAACAACATTTTAAACTTAAACCTAGTTTTCTTTTTTAATTCTTTAATTAACCCTCTGTCTCATCCACTACCATCTTTCAAATTGCAAGTCAGACTAATTTAACCCTTTATTCATCATGGGTTCACCAGCAGGCCCATTTTGTAAGCACTCTTAAAATAACTGCAATTCTGTTACAATTTTTGCTAAAAGTCAGAAATTTCCTGAAAGATGAGATTGATTTCTTTAATTCTATAGCCAAAATGACAAAATAAGTCCATTAGGTCTGTATGGATCCTGTTTGATAAGGGGTTGAGCCTCATGTATGGTTTGCTTCCAGCAATCTCAGCTGCCTGAACCATTCTGCTGCACTCAACTGCCTCTGATTCTCAAATAAAATCTATTGAACTATTTGGCTCTAATCTCTGAATCCAGCTTTTGATTCTTAAATCCTTTAGTTCTTAATAAGTGTGTGTCCCAGATGAAACGAGTCATCGTAAGTCCACAGTCAACTGAAATAAGGATGCAAAACTGCGAGTCACAAATTACAGACATGAGGGAGACACTCATTATTCATCACTCAGAGATTTACAACGCATCTTCAAAACTTTGCAGCTTGCCTTGGAGCCTGATGCATTTTTTAAGCTGAGTTACTTTTGCACAGGAGCTACATAAGCCGACAAGCATGTTTACCATAAGATTTGGCGGAGGGTTAGAGCCTGGTGGGATAAAGCTCATGGCAAATGCATAGGATTCCTCCCACATGAAACAGGCTCTCTTTTTAGATATTAGGAATTTATCTTACAGCACTGGTTCAATGTGAGTCAATATGAGTTGTTGGTGTTTCTATGATAGCATGAAATATGCATCTTGTGTGCCAACAAAAATCCAATCAATGAACTCATCACACTGTAATGGAACAATTTTAGCAGTGTAGTGTAATTGCAGACAATTTTAGCCACTTTAAGACTTTTTTGAATATCACAGCCCCTCGTTTATTTATTGGCTTTCCACGCACTTCCAGAGAGCTGCTCTATACCTGCTGAAATCTGTATAATGAAGTAAGCTTAAATGAAAACCCCTCATTAACAGAGGAAGTAACACACCAGACGTGAGGTCAGTAAATGGTTTGTGCCATAAATAGTGAATGAAGTTCTGTCTCTGACACGCACAACACTTACTTTCCCCAGAACAGGGTGAGCCTCTCACCCTTGCATCGGGGGTGCTTGTGTTTTTCATTCCCTTCAGTCTACACACCAACTAGGGTGGATTTCTGCTGGGCGTCATGGCAACCAGTGGAGCTATTCTCCATCACAGTGGCTGAGGGAGGAAAGAAAAAGGAGAGTTAATGAACAACACGCATTTCCCACTAAGACACACATGCACACACATACACAAAAAATCATTACATTCACTTAGCGTTTGCTGAGGCTTCCACGGATAATATGGAGGTATGAATAAATTCATGACCTCCCATACAAACAGACTCAAAGTTTTAGCAAAATATCCCACAGTCACAGGTGGGGTTTCCTGTGTTACACACAATTTTACTGACATTAAACTATTCCAAACCAAGTTGCAACTAACAGCATTCCTACCTTTGCCAAGTAGGTTTTGTTGTCTCACTCTGTCTGTTTGTTATCAGGATTACTCAGACTTATGGCTTTAACACTTAAAATGTTTAAGTTTAATTTGTTAATCTGGATCTGGATCCAGGAAACAGAATTTTTTGGAGGGATTCTTTTTTGTCATTATGAGACAGTCTTTTCCCCTCATATCTTTACAAATGCATAAGAAAATAAAAAAAAAATGAAATAAAGAAATTGAGAGAAATCATCTACAGTTTGAAAAATCCCAAACCGATCAACAGGGTTTGCCTGTTCTCCCTGTGTCTGTGTGGGTTTTATCTGGCATGGCAGCTTCATAAAACTAGACTGGAGGTACTTTCTTCCCTGAGGACTGACTTGTCAATAACAATACTAAAAGACTTATCTGGCAAATAAGAATAAAACCACCTTAAAACCTAACTAGAAATGCCAACCCACTGTTGGAGACAACTCAAAAAGAAAATCTAGCGATCCAAGAGTGTCAAATACAGCGCTTATAATTCATCAGCCGTCTCTGTCCTGTGGTTTGCTCTAAAACCCAAGTGGCCTGTTTCAAAGAGTCCACTTCTCTTTAACGATTTTCTAGTCCAATGATTTCTTCTGTCCAGACATCACTGTAACACCTCACTGCATTTGGCACATATTACCATTTGGACAGTGTAATAAATAAATAAATAAAAATATAAAAAAGATGTGAACGTTTTACAGTGGATAGAATAGAAAAATAAATGCTGTCAGTGGAAAAATTGCTATCAATCACTCCCTCACATGTTGCTTCCTTTAGGAAATACCGTCCTGTAATATATATATAGAGAGAGAGAGATGTCATACCACCCTGACAAAACCTGCCTCACAAGCAACACAGTTTAAAAATACAATTTAATTAAACGGATGAATTACTTAATATTACATTAATATAAAAATAAAAAAAACAACCTTCAAAACCTGTCGTCCTCGCGCTTCTTTGGTTTAACAATGGCGCCATCACCTGGTACATTTTAGTAGGTACGTCCAAACGTCATCACGGCGCGACAAGGAAGCACCTCTGTGAGCGTCCTTCACTTTGCTCTACGCTACAAACACCCGAGCAGGTTACAAAAGTCTGTCGTTTGTGGAGTACAAGTAGCTCTGTGCGGGTTGTCGGGCTTTATGGAGTGAACGCGGGAGACTGAAGGGAGACGTGCTCTGAGAGGTTTCCGCGTTTTTATTCAGTGAGTGACGTTTAGCTAAGTTTATACAGATGAAGTTGGTTTGGCAGCTACCGGTGTTGTGCCACAAAAGTCATTTCTAATATTTCTCTGCTTTTTTAGTGCCCAATATGTTTGCTTATATTGGTAAATAAACTGTATTCAAGAGGATTTATAAAGGTGTTATATATAAAAAATAATGATTATTTTGCAAGTATTTTTATGACTCTTTGTATTTGCACCCACATTATATCCAATCAGTTAGTCCAGTCATTTACAACAGATGAAATATAGTCATTTTTGGCAAATACTGGAAATTAATTGTTGTCTGACTTTTTGCCACAGCACCTGTTGTTGTGTAAGGTTGCAGTCTGGTATTAAAGCAGGCTTAGAAGATGTGCAAGTTCTTTTTGAGGCTGTTTTTTCAGTGTGAACACAGAAAGTTGTGAAAACCTGGACAATATGTGAAGGTAAAGTTTACCCAACTGTATATACAAAGCTTAGATTAACTGTTGTGTTATATGGATGAGGGGACTTTCCTGACTAGAATAGATTTCTGTGGTAGAGAAACTGTTATATTTTAACAGTTTACCTGTGCTAAGTCATTAGCTATTAAAATTTCTGTTTTATTGATGATTAATTTTCTCTTTGTGTTTGGGGCAGTGATGACAGCTCCAAACTCAGCAGAAAGGAAGACCTGCTGGGATGCCAGGGATCATCTCTGGAAGTGTTTGGATGATAATGATGACAATGTTGCATCATGCCAGAGGTTCCAGAGCGAATTTGAGGCTAAATGCCCGGCCCAGTGGGTAAAATGTCCCATCTTTTTTATTAATGGTTGAAGTTAGGGTTGCAGATAGTGTCGATAGCGGTGTCACAGATGAGCAGCTGACAGTGTTTATTGGACAATTTTGGAAACTTGAAGTTAAATGTAGACATTTAGAGAACATTTTAAAGAACCTAAGCAGCAACAAGATTGTCAGCCTTCAGTAGCTTCTTGCTCCTTTTCATTCTCCCCTGCAGGTGAAGTATTTTACCAAAAGGAGAGACTTCCTGAAATACAAGGAGAAGATGCAGACAGAGGGATTCACACCTGCTGAAGGCCCCCAGGGGGCATCCTAATCACCTAGAAACCATCAAGAGCTGCAAGCTGGCCTGGGTTTGCTGAGGTGCAGGACTTGGACAGGAGCTTGTGGCTTTGTTGCGGACAGAGTGCGTGAAGATCAAACTAATAATGTTATTTATTTTTAAAAATAAAGGCTGCTTTAGGAAATGCAAATGGCAGCACAAGGGACCTGTTTGAAAATCCTCATATCTTCTATCCCCAGAAATGCTAAAGAGTCCAGAGTTATGGAGTCCAGTAGGATTTCACCTCAAAGTAACGTGTCATTTTGGACAGATTTTACTATCATTACCTCCTGCTGGAATTCTGAAGTCTCACATTCAACCTGTTGCCATTAGTTCTCACAACACTGTCCAATATTAATGTTTCTGTGGTTCTCTTCAAGCAAAACAATTTTTTTCCCTAACACGTCTGTATTTCTCTCAGCAGAACAGAGAATCTGTTCTGGTGTTTTTCTTAAAAATATGTGATTTGCAAATAAGAGCTGATCTGATAGTGGAGATTTAAACTCTTTACTCTCATTTTTTGAAAATCTTGAAAGCTTGAATGACTTGTGTCGTTCAAGAATAAATCAAAACAACAGAGTGGTTTTAGTGGTTTTATTGTTGCACATGAAGTAATATTGGATCATCTTGACTCCTAGGTTGTGTTGTGGCTGGATATGAATGCACTATCAGGGTCAAACAAAATTTAAGAATGTTACAGCTCATTTGAAACAGGCAAGGACATAGTATGCTTATATTACAAGTCTTTAAAGTATTTACAGAAGAGCGTGGCCCCTGGGTCAAAGGTCACTGCTGTAACACGACTGAGATGTACGAAACCTTCAGGAGAAGTCAATAAATTACACAAGAAAAAGACATGCTTCTGATTGAGGCTACGCTAAAGGCCCATACTGTACTTACAATGCCGTGATATAAAAAAAAAAAGTGACACTTAAAATCTGTGTACAAATATATAAAGGCATATATTTTACATTTTTGCACAGTACAGAGAGTGTTTTGTGCAAACTTTTTTTGTGATTTGACAGTTGATTGAACAAACTACTACACCCTTCCACTCCTTGCTTGCACAGTCTTTTCCTTAAATGCTTTCTTTGCGTGCTGCATTAAAGAACCAGTACCCAGAGGGAGTCTGCGGCCTCCCACAGTGGCATTTCATTTTTTTTCTTTACATGCCAGGAGAAATGTTGCTCCTCCCAGGAGACAATGAAAAAGTACAAAAAGCGGTCACGCTATGGTGCGACAAGTGAACGATTTCGTGAAACCAATTTTTCTGCAGTTACTAAAAAAGCTTTCTGCATTTCATAAAGATCCTTTTTTAATGTTTGACTAACATGAGCGCCACAGTTAAAGCTCATACTTCAATAAGTAGGTAAATTATCTTGTTCGACTTGATCTACCTTTAAAAATTTCCAGATCCTTTCAACATGTGATATGAATGCAAATCAGGAGCGCAGAGACAAAGACAAACACCCTGCTGGGTTCACTGGGTAATGACCAGAGTTGGTCTATAAGCTTCTGCGATTAGGAAAAGAAAGTTCTGGCATAGGTCGAGCAAAAAGTAACTGAAGGCAGCTCAAGTCTTTAGCATAAATACAGTACATCTTTTCTAAACTTCGTTATGTTATGTGATTGAAGGAGAAAGGTAAAAAGGCTGGTTGCAGTCGAGTAGTCACAAAAAAAAAAAACTTTTATGCCTTTCTGATCATTTTTCCTTGGCCTTCATGGAAGTAAAAGAACCGTGGTCCTGTGCTTCCAGCTGGTCTTCTGAGGTAACATTAAAACTGACACACTTTAAAGGGCACATTAACCTGATTTTTTGAAAATGGACTTTATTGAACCTTCTGACAATTATTGTTAATTCATAAAATAATCATTTGAATATCTGAGATTTAAATTGTGCCATATTTGCTACATCAGATTTTTCTTTTCGCTTAAAAATGTACTGTGCAATTTCTTTACAATTTGGGGGGGGGGAGGTCACACTGATGATGTAAGACATTTCAGAAACTCACGTATCATGTCTATGATACACTAGGAGTCACACTTTTATTTGCCAGATGGCTGGTGGAGTCAGGGAATATTTTTCCTAGCGGTGGGTCCCAGGGGGTTGCCGACTGGTCATCACCAGGGCATCTCTAGATATGCTAAAGGAAGCCCCCTTATTTAGTATTTACCATTTAAGCTGCTCTTGTTATGGCTGCCAGGTGCACATCATTCATTTTATGAATCTTCCTAAGCAAAACTGACTAAATCTACCGCAACCAGGGTGAGGATGAGGGTGGAGTGTGCTTTGACATCACAGGAAGACATGAACACTGTTGGGATAAGAAGTTTGAGAGTAGGTCATGTTAAAATTGTAGCGTGTAAATTCATTAACACAAGGCACTGTAAAAGGCACTGCAGTGTTCGAGTAACATGTAGCAACAAGAATTGTAACGTTCACAGCATTAGGACACAAAAGCAGCTTCAGAAACTTTGGTAAGAATGTGCATGAAATGTGTAAGGAAGGCCCACGGTGTTCAACGTAAAAAGTACAGTAGCTCTACATATACAGTACACTGGCAGCCACAGTAGATTTCTCTTTTCATGCTCTTTTCTCGCTTTAATCCAGCAACCACTTCTTCCCTCTTACACGAAAGACAAGACCGATTTTTTCCAGAAATGCTGAAATGTGTTCAATTTAGTTGTAAAAAGTATATTTCATTGGAAATGTTTAAGTTCAGCAAACATGCAATAAAAAGAGACTTGTCTACAGTGGCCTTATGTAGCTTATTTCTATCTAAAAACAGTGAAATGTAAGGATGTTGTAGATCTGAAAATGTATTTCAGGTTTACTGTAAAACTAACTTATCATTTTTCTTCTACTACAAATCAAAAAAACTAAATCAGTTCTTGATTTTTAAAGGTTTCAGTTGGAGTTTAATGTCCTCCAGTGGCCAAAGGCGTTTAACATTCCTTGTAACACACCAGTATGGCCAGTATATAATAGTATATCTAAGCAGCTGGTGAGGGTTGTTTCTCCACTTCTTCTCCTTCTCACCACATCCATGTTCTTCTTTTAAGGTCTGTTTAATCAGTATAATTCTGAGCAATCGCAACACTTGCCCAGTCTCTTCCTCATCTATTTTTGAGTTCATCCCCGCTTTGTACCACCAGCACCTGCCCACTGTTAGTTATAAGCTCCCAGTGACATTCCTGGCCAGTGCCCAGGCTGGGAACTCAGTCAGATTGAAGAGTGGAACCCCCCAGGTGGTGATGGCCAACATTACCACCGCCACGCCAATCAGATTCACCCCAAAACCTGCTTTGACCTGGAGATGAGGAGAAAAATTACTTCAGTAAGCATCAAGAGTTTCTGTTTGCCACATAGTACGAAATAAAAAGAGCCTCGAATTGGATACGCTGTTCCCGGAAGTCTTTTGATTCCGCAGGTGCAAGAAGATTGTGGGACAGTGAGTGTGTGTTTGTGTGTCGTACCATGTCCCTGATCTGCACGTGGCCGTAACTGAAGACGATGGCGTTGGGGGGGTTCCCCACTGGAAGCATGACCCCAAATGACACGCACATGGTGGAAGGGATCAAAGTGTGGAGGGGGTTGATGTGCAGAGTCTCCGACTGGACAGAGAAGTACGCAATGAAGAAGAACAAAGGGGGTAAAGAGAGAGTAATGAAGAAAAAAGACAAGTGCGAAGAGGAGAGGTGAAATGGTTGGGAGTACAGAGGTTATAGATAACTCAGAAAAATGTAGAAGGAGGGAAGAGAAAAGAAAAAGGATGATAAAGAAAAATTGAACAAATGGGAGAAAGAGAAGGTCAGAGTTACCAACTGCTACAGAAGTTGATATGACACTTAAAAAACAACATTTTCACATAATATAATCATAAAAATGTTTGTCTAGAATTAACGTCACAACTGACCCATCCTGTCGCTATGATGTCATACTTTTGCAATGTGGGGAAAAATAAAAAAAAAATTGCACATGTACAATTTTATCTGCTGTTACAATGGTAAGCATTTTAAGGTTGTTTTTTGTTTTGTTTTTTAAACTGAGCTTTAAAACATGCAACAAGAGTGGTAATAAAAACCCACAGAGGCCGACAGACATCACTGACTATATTTTAAGGGCCGGTTGAGATTACATAGAACAAGACAAAAATCATTAAAACATGTTAAAAAAAAAAGACTTTAGCCTTAATGAATGCAGTGTAGTTTGGAGCCGGAAGCAGGGTTCATACATCATCAGTTAACAACTGGACAGAGGTGAAGTATTATGGCACCTGCTGTGAAATAAAAAGAGCCTTGATGTGCACTTTATGAGTAAGTGCACGAGGAACAGGCGCCATTCTGCAATAAAATGGCTTGTGACGTACTGGTGAGAAAACGTCACCACTGACAGCTAAAATGGATTATTGCCAGTACAGCAGTTTTTGGGGGGGGGTTCTGAGTAAAAGGGTCATAATGTGCAGATGCACAAATATTTTTCCCCTACTCTTACATGTGTTTGTGCTGCTATCCCAGTATAGTATAAGAGTATAAATAACACAGGTTGTTTTTATGGAAGCCCGTTTCCGCCAATAAAAAAAAAAAAAAAAAAGAAAGGATCCATAACTCAAAATTCCAAGTTATTTTCTCGAAATTTCGATTTATTAACTCAAAATTTTGAGAAAAGTAACTCGAAATTTCGAGTTAGCGCTGCCAATCAGTAATCTACGTGAATGACGTCATTTCCTTGTTACCCGGAAGCTGAAGCCCTCAGCTACAAATGCTACAGCTAAGCTACCGGTATTACATCCAGTCGTGAATGCACAGATTGCTGAGTGTTTTCAGCCTGGCTTCACAAATGATGAAATCCCTGTGTTATTAGCTGAATCACATGGTGTTACTATCAGCAAACATACTCGCGAAAGCGCCAATTTGTTGGGATCCGTTTTTGAGTGCGCGGTCCTCTGCGCCATATGCTTCCAGGTAACAAGAAAGTGACCTCGTCTGTGAAGGTTCTCAGTCATCCAGGTCATCGTAGTCAAAGGAGCTTGCAAAGAAAAGCGTCTGGACTTCTTTAAGTTGCTTGAAGACGTTTCACCTCTCATCCGAGAAGCTTCTTCAGTTCTAAGGTCAAATGGTGGAGAGTCCCAGATATAAACCTAGTGGGAGTTTCCCCCCACAGAGGGACAAAAGGACCCCCTGATGATCCTCTAATCACCTGAGCCAAGGTGTGAAATTGGGTGCGGGCCCCAAGAAAGTGACCTCATTCACGTATATTTTTGATTGGCAGAGCTAACTCGAAATTTTGAGAAAAGTAACTCGAAATTTTGAGAAAAGTAACTCGAAATTTCGAGTTATGGATACTAGCTTTTTTGTTTTTATTTAGTGGCGGAAACGGGCTTCCATATGTTTTAGATATCTATATGTATATAAAAAGAGAACTCGGCCTCACAATCAGTGCCACTTGTCTCAAGCTTTACATTGTTTGCACTGTTACACGCACGCACTTATGTAACAGTTATGTAACCAGTACTATTTAGACCACCTGGTAAAGATTATTCAAATTCGTGGCCCACATCAGAAGTAATTAGCACAGT